TATGTGCCCTAGATATGTCTCATTTGTCTGCAATGCCATTGTTGGCCAATTGGGTATTTCCCCCCCCCCCCCCACCCTCAATGAAAATCACAGTTGGATACCCATTCTGCCAGTGATGGATGATCGCCCAGATGATACTCTGCCAGTGAGTGATGTTAAGTTGGATCTAAACTGTGCAAGTTGGAATCAGCTGGGAGATCCAGTACATGCATAATGAAGCCAGCTCTCCCGGTGTCACTGTGAGTCCAATTTCCCAGAGGCTCACATGAAGTGCATTAGCAATTCCATCTGTACATCCAGGGTTGAAGTCATTTTCTCAATACAACAATGCTTTACAGAATTAGAGTAAGGGCATACTTAGCCACATCCTTTGGCATGTCATGTGTAACTAGCGATTGTGACTTACCTTTCTGTAAGATGTGGAACATTCAGCAGCTTGGGGGTTTATTTGATAGTTGTAAAGTCAAAAACTATATTGCTTTGTTAATTTTTTTTGCTGTAGGACAATATGAAAATCACTTTTAAATTCATATCACAAATAGCAAAGCAGATATTGAAGTTGGTTGCTGTGTTGTTGAACAGTCATTAGGGAAGTCCCCGACGTGAAAGGCGCTATACAAATGTAATTTTGTATTGCATTGATAAAAGTACCAGAATGCTGGTGGCTATCCCTTCGGAGTCAGCTGTGCTCAGATGGTGGCACTGAATCAGAAGATTGTGAATCAAAGGACTTTGAGTTCACAATCTTGGCTGAGACTCCAAACCAGTGCTCCAGGAGTCTGGTGAGTTACTAAAACGAGGTCTTGTTTGCCTCATCAGGTAAACATGGCTCTATTCAAAAAGAGACAGTTGTTTATCCCTTGGGTATAAATTAGTTATTCACTTCATGCGCTCTGAGACGCCGTCCGGCGTGGAGGATGCTATATAAATCCAAGTTGTTGTTGTTGTTGGTTGTTTGTGGGATATTGTCATGCATAAGTTAGCTGACAAGTTTACCTAGAAATACAGTCATTATAATTTACAGAAAATTCTTGAAACTTTTTGATGTGACAAAGTGCTACATCAAATGCAAGGATTATTATGATAAATATATCAGGGCAAAAGCCAGTCCTCTGTTGAGGTCTTCATCTACGCCCTCCACCCCACACACTGATCCTCTCAGCTCTTTACTCCCCACCCCCACTTACGTTGGTCCTCTCAGGTCTTCACATTATAGAAAATAAGAACCATGTCTTAAAGGGGTCTAAGGAATCACACCTGGCAAAACCAGGGAGACAAACCATTGCAATTCAAGATATCATTGACCAGCCTGTCTGCTTCTTGATCGAAGATTGTCTATGTCTCCAAAAACTAATAATCCAAAGTAATAATGGGTAGGATGATCCAACCTGGGACAAATACCATGAAAATTACCAGTACCTCATGGCTGCAAGGTTACCATTAATAATCTTTACTAAGGCATAAAGAATGAACATAAATGATGCCCTACTTTCTTCCCCGCTATAATAGAAGCAGAGAGATGAAATACAACAACTCAACAACCAAATTACATTTATAGAGCCCCTTTCACATCGGGAGGACATCGCAAAGCGCTGGAATAAATAATCCAGCATTTCATAAACCAGACTCTAAAATAACTCTATTTAGAAGCAGACTCTAAAAGAACTAAAAGAATTCCGTTCAGTGTTAAGTGCATGATCTTTGGTGATGTCAGACACTAATCACATTTCTCACTAGTCGTATACAGCAACAGCAAAGTTACTGTATGTGCCTTCGAATGTCATTTTTACCCAAATGACTGAATTACAAATATTGTATTTTGTTCATTATGCAGTCCATTTGAAGTGTACTTCAATTCTCTTAATCCCTGGTGCCTCAGGATTCTTAGTGACACTTAGTGATCTAGTGATGGAGAATAGGTTCCCTGGATACACATAGATGCTAGTTGCAGAACGTAGTGAGATAAAACTGATATGTGTTGTTTTTTATTAAAATGTGTTTACAACAAACACAACAATTCAAATAGTACACCATGAATACATAACAGTCTCTAAAGAGCTGGGTTATGTGAGGCAGAGAGATCTAAGCAGGACTTTCTCACTATTCCTCAGTTACCTGGAAACAAGAGCATTAATCAAGCATTTCCCTTCCATATTCCATATTCCATTATCAATCAACACTTTTTAGTTTTGTATTTTTTTGCCTGCTTCACTTGTACATAAATTTATGAGCGTCTAGCACATTAGTTTGTGCTGGTGTTTGATGCACACATCAACACTTCATTTGAAAGACTGCACATTTCTATCCGTAGCAGATTAGTTAACAGTTTGAAAAACTAATTATTACAAAACTGCATTTGTTCGTTTGCAACAGTTAAACTTGAAAAGATTGTCCCTAGTATGGACTTAGAGTTCCTGCAGTTTCAGCTGGACTTTTACCCAGTCACCATGTACCAGCTCATGAGTGTTCCACTTGCTTTCATGTTTTACCAGCTCTCCATCAAGGGGCACCTGCCTTTGACTGCAAGGTAAGTCTAATATGATCAATACCAACAAGGGATTGATCTTTCACGTTTTAGGTAAAGATTGAATCTCATGAGCAAGTTTCATTGAGTGATGTGGTAGATTAAATAGTTCTTGATAGTTCTTAATAATTTTGAAGTAGATTGAAGTAACGCATTAGAAATAGTGACAGTGTGCTTTGTTATGAGAGAAGTCTAATTGCTTTGAAATGTTTTCAAAATAAATATAGTTTGAATATTATGAGGTGTAGTTTTTACATAGAATTGACTGCTCAAATTGTGGGGTCAAAAGCAAAGATAAAATAATGTTTCAGAATGCTTCACAAATTACTATTTTTTCATAGTTTGAGTCAGATTACATTTGTAAATCCATCTAGGGTAAAAATCAATCTATTAAAAATAAGGGCACATGAACCAAAAATCTGGTGGAAAATAACCATCCAGAAATAGTCTTTAGAAATATAATAATCATTACATTTGATATAACACCTCATCATATCTCTAAGAAGTCTCAAACAAAGCACTTGAGGATTTTACTGTGAGCTTACACTTAAATTAAAATGTAGCACAGTTTGAAAATGAAGTTTTGTTGTCGCCTGGCACTCAGAGCTTACAGTTTATACAATACAATTTACAGCGATATAGCATATTTCACATCAGGAGGAAGTTTCAAAGCGATTGACAATGCTGGCTGGGCAACCAAGCTGCAGGTTGGAGCCGACGGGCTTGGGAGGGGCAAGATGACCAAAAGCGAGGTTAAAGTGGTACATCTTGAGACAGATCTTGAACATGGAAGGGAGGAAGCAAGTCAGAGGGGCTTTAAGATGGATTTCCAGAGAGCAAGAATGTCCGAGAGCCTGCCCACTGTTGGAGGGAGGATAAGGTGATGAACATGAAGCAGGCTGGTGTTTGCTGAATGAATGGAGCAGCGGGCTCAGTAGGGTTGAAGGAGGTCACGTAGGTTGGGTCGGGTGAGGCTGTGGAGGGATTTAAACAGCTACTACACCCCAATCTCACCCAAACTCCCTCCACATCGCACCCTGACCTCAGAACCCTTCTAAAAACCTACCTCTTTGACTGCACCTTCAGTCACCATCCTCCTACTCCTCTCCCCCTATTTTTCATCATGCTTGGACTTCCATAATATTCCTCCAAAGGGCTGTGAGATGTTGTCCTGTGGAAGAAGTCATATAAGTAGAAGTTACTGTTGCAAAGTATTTTTGTGGTACAGCGGATATTGGTACTTGCTGTTTACTGTAACACTCTTCACTACTCCTAAGTGCTTTATTTATAATTGCGAATGGTTGGGAGGAAGCTAACATGTAATATTCTGAATTCAATGGTTTTTGTTTCTTTACATTTCCAGACTATAACAATGGATTTCCTGAGTAATTCCCAGACTTTGAGTATTCACAAAGCAATGGTAGGGATAGAGCATTAGTTTGTCATTTTTATCAATTCCTATTTGAATCTCATCTAGAGTACAGTTCCCATAAGCGGACCATATCTTCTGTAATATGCAAACTGAGCCATTTTCTCTTAGCCATTACAGTAAGTGGCTCAGAGGTCTATAATTAACTCTGGAAATGGATGTATGTTATTGAATTAAACAGTTTCCTGCTAAAACACCAATCTTACTTTGGAAAACAGAACATATTATCAGCAGATTTGAAGTTTAAAACAAATGAAATGGATCTGATAGATGAAATAAGATTGGACAACAATGACCATGAATTAATACTAGAGAAACAAAAAGACAATATCTACAAATAATTGAAGAAGAGAGCTAATCCATGATATTAATGTTTGTTGAAGATAGATGCTTGGAAAATAGTTTTAAAGGGTAAGAGGAGTGAGCAGGAGAGCAGAAATAGACTGGGTGCCTTATGTCGAGAACAATACCAGCTCAGACTAGATGGGATCCGGTTTCTATGATGTAAGATTTTATGATAAGAAATAACTCACCAGGCAATACTCAAAAGTCCTGTGGCAAATGTATATGTTGTTCAGCTTCTTCCAAACTAAAGGTTCCATTGTCTCTATTTAAGTTGTATGTTTCTTTGATCTCAGGACTTCTCCATGAAGATGGCAGCTCAGATGTTCAGTTAATGCACTGGATTAGGCTGAATCAATGGTTGCACAGTGCTTGCAAAAAGCTGAGTGAACAATTGACTTTCAAGAGGGAACAATATGAATTCAAGCGCTCTGAGACATTGTTGTTCAATACCTAAAAGGAATAAATTACAAGGGTGTGGGGTAAAAGCAGCCAAATGGGACTGAATGGAGTTATATTTCAAACAGCCAGTAAAGACACATGGGCTGAATTGCCCTCTTTTATGCCTCAGGTTTCTATGGTTCTATGAGCCGAAGCACATTGAAATGTAATGTATGCAATACAACCTGAACATTGAAATTCTAAATCTATCACAAAATCTGTGTTTCCTTAATTTATGAAACAGAATTTTCCATGACTTTCCAGGTATTTATTCCTTGTGTTTGGCGGACTTCTAGTCATGTGTGTTTCCATGGGACCCTACGCTGCTCTGGTACTCATTCCTGCTCTTTCTTCTGTGATGATGCTACACTCTCTCAGAGCCATGACTGTTCACAAATTGATCTTCTTCACTCAGATGAGTTGGCTGTCCCTATGTCATCTTTGGCTTCACTATAAAGACTATTATCTCCAGGAACCAACAGATACAAAGTAAGTGCTTAGTGGGAAATTGCCTGTTTTTGATCTTGTGATCTCCTGGTTCCGTAGTTCATAGCCTGGTTTTGACATGATGATCTTGTGCCTCTGACTTTTCACATCTCCAGCTGTAACTACACAATGTCCCAGATTGATCCCCAGGATCAGCTAGCTGCCATTGGACCCTGTATGTACTCCATATGTTAAACACATGGATGTATTCATGTGGTTGGTGCTGGGATGTCCAAATATAAACGTAACAGATTGGCAGTATTAGCAATCAACACATAGTTTTTACATATTTAGGACATCATTCCTCTACCATAGATTTAGAATCGCAATCAGCCTAGCTCAGTTTAGAGTACTTTTTCCTCTGGGTCAGAAGGTTGGGGATTCAAGCCTCTCAGTCTTTGGTAACATGTAGAGGAGACTGCATTGTTGAAGGTACCATCCTTCCAGGAGGCTCATAGGGAATGTCTGCCATCCACCCACTGAGGGCTCAAACCTGCACTTGTCGGTTATCAAATGACCAACTAGTGATTATCTTCCTTGGGGGGAGGGGAGATAAGCTCCTTGGAACTGAACTGGTTTCAAGGTGACATACTTGTCCACAGAATTGTCAAAATCAAGTCAATCCTCTGTAGGAGTTTCAGTCGTCCAGTACCTGAGCCAGTATTCCAAGGCACTGTTAATGATAGCACAGCCAGTCTGGCTCTCAGTAGGACCTGGAAGGGAAGTCCAGTCACTGGGAAAAGGAGGAATCCCTCTCAGCTCCTTTAATCCTGCAACCCAAAGCTCTAACTGGTAGGATAGTCCTAGCTGGACAAGCAGCAGAAAACTTCCCAGCCAGTGCTTTCAGTGGCAAGCTATGCGGTTTCAGCTTAACTCCTGCAGTACCTCAACACCAACTCTGGGGTATCCAAGCCTTGGCTTTTGACAACCTGCCTAATACCTTCTGGAATTAGGTAGGCAGGGTGCATCCCTCTGGGGAGAGAGTGTGCATTGTATTCCAAACACAGGGAAATTTCTGTATTATCAGTCTGGTTTGGATACTCTTAAGCATGGTGATGGGTTCATACATTTGTCACACACTCACTCGGTTGATCAAAAAAGTAACCAAGCACTCCTGGAAATGGTGGATCCTATAATAAGAAGTACATTGTTCTGTCAATGTGTAAGAAAAATCACACACATATGGAAGTACTGTACAGATCACTCAAAAAAAATTTAAGAAGGCCATCAAGCCATTCATTTTATAGGTTTCTACCAGTTCACTCTTTGTGTTAGCCTGACTCAATTGGTAGCACTGAGGTGGAAGGTTGTGGGTTCAAGACCCATGTCTGTATTTTGAACATTGAATAGCAATAGGTCCCAACTGTGTCAGAGTTGATCTGAGGATCCACTTTCAGTAAGCTAACTCACAGGGAAGACAGGAAAATGAAGAATGCAGGGGAAAAATATTTTGGAAGTAGTAACATTCTATAATGACATTGAGTATTGACACTCTCAAGACATACTCTCTTTCAGTCATCTTTCCCTTTCCCACCCCGTCAGCTCCGACCTCCAGCTAGGATGGCCAGCCAGCAGTGTTTTGTGCTTTGGGACATCCTTCTAACATTAAAGGCACGATATAAATGTTAATTTGCATAGAATTGTGTCATATAAAGTGCATCCTTCATAGATTTTTGTGAATAGATTTTTTAACGAGCAATATTTTGCTGGTAATTTGCGAGAAAAAAATTAATGACACCCATACTTTCTTTCACATGTAGGTTCCTGATAGCTCTGTCATCACTTATGCTGCTCATTCAGAGAGTAACGTCCGTGTCCTTGGATGTTCACGAAGGCAAAGTCACAATTGCAAAAATGCAGCGGCATCACAGTTCCTCAGAATTTCTCCGTTGCTTATTACCACACATCAGCTACGTACTATATTTCCCTGCCCTACTTGGAGGACCTCTATGTTCCTTCCAAATGTTTCAAATCCATATGGAAAATCTTAAAAAGTCTCAGCAAAAAAGAAATGCAAATTCCATCTGGCCTTTTTTAAAGAAGTGCTTATTAGTTTTCATAATGGACAGATTAAGAATGTTTCTGACAAATTGTATTCGTGTCATAGAGGGCATCGATCAAGGGTCTTGTATTGTGATGTTTCTAAGGATATTTTATTGATATCGATGACAGCTTTGATGTTCAGGTTAGCATATTACTCTCAATGGCTCCTCAGCGAATCTCTCAATAACTTAGTTGGCCTGGGATTTGAGGGACAGGCCAAGAAGGAGAGATGTGTCTGCAGTGCTCTCTCAGATGCTGACATATGGACCCTGGAGACAACTAATAAGATATCAGAGTTCACTCGAACGTGGAACAAAACCACAGCCGACTGGCTTAGAAGGATGGTGTTTCAGCGAAGCAAAGTTCATCCTCTTTTAGCAACATTTGCCTTCTCAGCATGGTGGCATGGCCTTCACCCTGGTCAAGTCTTCGGGTTTGTTTTGTGGGCTTGCAGTGTAAAAGCCGACTATTATGTTCACCATTATATTATGCCACTCACCAAGAAATCAAGGCTGCTGCTGATTGTCTATAAAGTATTCACATGGATACAAACACGACTGATAACTGCATACATTTTGATAGCTGTGGAGCTCCGAACTTTGGCTTACGTGCTAATGATGTGCAGGTCTGCCTGTATTCTCAGCCCGGTAATGTACATGCTGGTGCTGGTGGCAATGTGCATTGTGTCGCAACATCATTAAAGGCAATGAATGGAACTTTTCCTCATTTTAAACTTGTGGGGAAGGTTTCCTCAGAATGTGAAGATCCCAAGTTATTAGCTTGTTCACACTATATTTTTTTCAGCCAAACAATCAAGGCAGTGTCAATTCCTGCTTTGGAATGTTTTGCATTTGAGCTTAATTCTGTGTAATATACAGTTACAGGAGGATATCTTCTGCGAATTTGTAGAAATGTGAATATTCGTGTGCAGTTCCTTTAATCAAATCTTTGTTGTGTCCAGACAGACACATGTTGACACATGAGGTGCAAAAATACAATGCTGAGAGGAAAAGTGTCTGTTAACAACTGGTACTTATATAGCAGTATCTGAAAATTCAGCACCATACTCCAACAAAGTAATACAACCACCAAAAGCATCTGCAAAATTCAGAGAACACTGAAAGCTTACTCTTGCTCACCGAATCCAAATGCCTCATCAATTTAAGAGCTGAAAAATGCGTGTTTTCATATAGTGGAGCTTTTAAGTTATAACCATCTCTTTTATTCCTTGTTAAGGACACGCATTTCTCTTGTACATCAAGGACAAAACATTTTGGAAAAAAATGTTTAATTGCTGATTATTTGAAAGAGTACAAATGCTTTGAAAATAGAGCCTGGGGACTTCAGCATGAATTAATTTTGTTGTATTCTATATTTACAGAAGAATAAATAGTGGCATTTAGCAATTCAGAATCAAGGGGGAGTTTTCAGACATTCAATCTTCTGAAGTTGTCCAGCGTCTTTGGGTGTCTTCCTGACGTGAAAGGCACTATTGTCAATGCAATTTATTGTTTTTGTTGCTGTATACATCACACAAATTGAATCTACTGATTTACATCAATTTGTGTGATGTAAACTGCTGTCAGTGTCTAAGCAAGATTTACAACTCTTCAGTGCCTGGACTGAATCATTTTTCAATAAATTTGTTGCTACCCGTGAATTGTGTCTGCATTCCAGAGATTATTAAAGGTGCAGGTTGGCAAGAGTGTGCGTTGGGTACTAATGAAGTCTATTTCACGTTACAGTATATTTTGTGAAGCGCTTTGAGACGTTTTGAAGACGTGATAAGGTGCTATATAATAATAATGAACCTTGCATTTGATATCAAATGCAAGGATTATTATTATTATAACTAGCTAAAATCGCATAGCTTACCATTGATAGCACTGTCCAGCAAGTTTTCCCACCTTAGGCAAGTTTCCTTACTCCACACACACGCCTCTGTTTACCTAGCAATAAGTAGGAACCCGCTTGTTAGTTGATTGGCAGATCACTTTCCGGGGATAAAAATTCCTTCATAATAAATAATAATAATTCGGTCACTCAATTCACAACTGTGTGTGGGACACTGCTGTGTGCAATTGGCTGCCACCTTTTGCCCACAAAATACAGTCACTTTACAGTGTATCCTGTGAAGCACTTTGAGGTGACTCAAAGACATGATAAGGCGCTATATCAAATGCAAGGATTATTATTGTTGTAGGTCTATCCCACCTTTTAGGGTTTTGACTTGCAGGATTAATGGGAGCTCAGTGCAAAGAATCTCTGCCCCAGCCTACTCCTGCAGGTCTACCAATATGCCAGGATGGCTGGTCTGCCATCGGCAGTGACCTGGAGTATCCATTATTCAACAATTCATTACCTTGGCCAACAATTCAACATAAATAAAAATATTCATTCACTTCATGGCTGTTTTTGTAGGGCAATGCTTGCTGTGCCCAAATTGGCCTTGGATTACTGCAGACCCACCTGGCTCAGGAACTAGACTACCTAGACTGCACGGAGGATTGACTCGATTCCCCTTGGAGCCATCTCAGTTCCAAAGGAGATGACAGAAACCCCCCACCTGCCCTGCACCCCCACCCTACCCCCCCCACCAACACACACACTCACACGGGAGATAATAATATTCCTTGCATTCGATATAGCACTTTATCATGTCGTTGAGATGCCTCAAAGCACTTCACAGGATGTACTGTTAAGTGGATTGACTATGAATTTTGAGGGCGAAACTTGGCAGCCAGATGCGTACAGCAGTGTTCCACAAACAGCCATGAAATGAGTGACCAATTTATTTGGGAAATTGTTGATCCAGGACACCAGGAGAAACACCTTTCCTTTTTCGAATAGTGCCATGGGATCTTTAACGTACACCCGACAGGCAGATCGGACCTCAGTTTAACATCTCATCCAAAGGACAGCACCTTCAACAATTCAGCACTCGCCCAGGCTTGGAGTGTCAGCTTAGACTAAGTGATTCCAAGTCCCGACTTGGGGCTTGAACCCACAACTTCCTGACTCATTGTGCCAGGCTGACATAGTACAATGTTGTTGTAGTGTTAAGGAGGAGGCTTGAGCAAAAGGTTTTGGGAAAACAAACAGCCACTCTTTTGCAAGGGAAGTGCCGACTCTATGCTGAATGCTGGCTGGGTGACAATTCCACACCCAGGTCATTAACATTTGTTGACAAAACCTGCTCAGGTTATAATCCAATATGATTCAAGAGTTCTCAGCATTGCAGTTTTTTCAGTAGTGATTGCTGGGTGTTGTTGAATCCCAAAGACCTACCCAAATATGTTGATATTAAGAATTCAGAAACTGCAAGTAGCCAGGCGTAAGCCTAGTTCAGTTGACAGCATTCTCACCTCTGAGTCAAACCCACAACCAATTTTGAGTTTCTAGTCTAGGTGAGTGAATCACTGCAGTGTCAGAAGTGCCACCCTTTAGCTGGGATGTGAAATCAAGATCCCTTCTGTCTGTTCAGGTCGATGTGAAATAAAGATCGCAAGGCACTACTCAAAAAGGGAGTTTCTCCTTGTGTCCTGGCCAACAATCCTCAAGATAAAAACTGATCATTCACTTCATGGACGGTTGTGGAACATTGCTGTGTGCAAATCGTTGCCATGTAAACCCACAAAATACAGACACTACTTTACATCAAACCCTGTGAAGCTCTTTGAAACTTCCAACATGAAACGTTCTACATCAAATGCAAGGATCATTATTATTTCCCCATTATAATTGTGCATTTATAGTGGCCTTCAGCCACTCTGCCCCCTCCCTCTGGAACTCCATCCCACAGTCCCTCCACCTTGCCCCCTCCCTTTGCCTCCTTCAAGACCCATTTTAAGACCCTCCTCTTCAACCATGCCTTCGATCACCATCCTTCCCCCTTTGCCCTCCACACTCCCTGATCCCAACCCTCCGTTCGGGTCAGAAACACTGATTGTCCAGGGCCTTGGGACGTCCTCCCGATGTGAAAGCGCTATACAAATGTAATTTTGTTATTGTTGTTGCATCGTCAATAACAATAAGACCCAGTAAATCCTATGAAGCGCTTTGATATGTCCTCCCAACGTGAAATACTCTATATGAAATGTAAGGATTATTATTTTATTCAATCTCCAAGCTCTTTCAGAAGGCAAAATTACAATATACCAGCCTTTTTCCAATTTAACCAAAATGATTTTATTTACAGTAGTTATTAAACACAGACAGAAATACTATGCTAAGCACAGGTACTATATACTGAGGAAATTAAAACATTTAAGAAAACCTTTAGAACTGAAAAGTCCAAAAGCTGAGTGGAAAAGCAGAATTGCTGAAGGTGTGGTACTGTTTCATGGTCATGGTGATGTGCTGCCTGACTGCAACTCACAAAGCAGCAACCACGTACTTTCCCTCCCAAATCTGTCAGTTCATTCAACAATGACAGAAGTCGCTGGGAACACTCAGCAGGTCAGGCAGCATCTATGGAGAAAGGAAAGTGAGTCAATGTTTCGGGTCCACAACCCTTCATCAGAACTTTGTCGTTTCGGATTGTGGACCCAAAACGTTGACTCACTTTCCATATCCATATCCATAGCCTGATCTGCTGACTGTTCCCAGCGACTGCTGTTTTTGTTTCAGATTTCCAGCATCTGCAGTATGTTACGTTTTTGCATTCAACAATGATCTCCCTTATGGTTTAAACATTCTCCTTGATCCTGAGCCACAGTGTGCAGCACAGCAATGGAGACTGATCCTGAACCACAGTGTGCAGCACGGCAATGGAGACTGATCCTGAACCACAGTGTGCAGCACGGCAATGGAGACAGATCCTGAGCCACAGTGTGCAGCACGGCAATGGAGACTGATCCTGAACCACAGTGTGCAGCACGGCAATGAAGACTGATATTGAGTCACAGTGTACAGCACGGCAATGGAGACTGATATTGAGTCACAGTGTGCAGCACGGCAATGGAGACAGATCCTGAGCCACAGTGTGCAGCACGGCAATGGAGACTGATATTGAGTCACAGTGTGCAGCACGGCAATGGAGACTGATATTGAGTCACAGTGTGCAGCACGGCAATGGAGACTGATATTGAGTCACAGTGTACAGCACGGCAACAGGCATTCTATTTAAAACATCCTTCATCTTTTTGTACAATGCAAGTTCTAAACAATGTTTAAGATAGGAATGCTCTTCCACGGTATGTTAAGTCACCCTTTGAGTGGTTGGCTTAAACCATACTAAACTATACTGGAATAAGAACAGAGGTTGCTGAGAACACTGGTCAGGCAACATCTATGGAGAGAGGAAAGTGAGTTTCAGGTCGATGGCCTTTCTGACCACTTTCAGATTTCCAGCATCTGCATTATTTTGCTTCAACTATGCTGGGTTGCCGCTTGAAACATGTTTTCACTTGAGTGCCAAGAATATAGACTGCTGAGGCCATTGAACAAACAGAAGGCCTATAATCCCACCTCATCCAATCGTCAGGCTATTTTGATATGAAAAATCAAATCTGTAAAGGTTTTTAAGGGAAACTTACAGAAAAACGCCTTCATACTTAAGACTTAAAGGGATTTCTTATGAAGTAATCATTTCCAAATTCCGGTTGAAACTCTACTCTGGAAGAAGATTTAAACAGAGCTCTCATCGGGCAGCAAAATGAACTTCCTATGATTGTAAGGAACCTCCCTTCACAGCATTAAGAGTCCTTGTTAAGAAATTCTGTTAAGAAATATCGCAATTTACATTACTGAGCACTCACAAGCCAAGGGAGAACTGTTACAACAAATTATAACATTACCTTTAAGCTCTTGTATATGTAAAATATATTACTCATCCCTGCGTATAAGTTTCAAATGTTTACATTTCATTTACATACAATTTTGGGGAGTGAAACGTCAATCCTCAAGAGCCTCCTTCGTAATAGTCAGACTTGTGTAAACATTGATCCTTTACTCAGCCCATAAATCACACCGCTGCAACCATTTCTATCAGATCATCCCCAGTGTTAGAGCTATGAGCCATGGATGAGCAACGATTAGACATACTCAGAGGGTTCTTTATATGAGGTATATTAAATTTAAGTGGAATTGGGAAAGTGAACTCCGAAAAATATTTTTAGATGCACCAAGACATCAGAACAATAGGATATAAGGATTAACGCTGCAAATAACAATTTCTGGACAGACACCAGGAAGTATTTCTTTACCCAAAGGGTAATCACCAACTGGAACAGGTAGTTTAAGGCCATGACACTGGACTCACTTACAAAATAATAAACATTTATGTAATGCCTTACATGTTGGGAAGATGTCTCTTCACCTTGTGCTGGATGGACACCCAAGCTGGAAAAAAGAAAGATGACTGAACGCGCGGTCAAAGATGTATGGTGTGAGACGTGCCTTGGAAAAGGGGAGGGAGCAAGTTGGAGGGACTCTGGGATGGAATTCCAAAGAGCATTTAAGAAACAGCATGAATCTGTGAAGGGAGGACGGTAGGATAGGTATTCTGGAAGGATGAGATCAGATGGGTTAAAGGACCTCTTTATCTAAACCAATCTTTTAATATTATGAGTCATAATAGACTTTGATTGTCACAGTGTGACATGCCCAAACATCTTAAACTGTGACTTTGGATGAAGAACCACTCAAAGTTGTCAGATGGATCTTTTAGAAACTTATAATAATATGAATGAACCAAAGAGAAGCAAAGAAAATAAGAAGAGAAGGAACCCTATCTATCCTCGAACATTTCTTGGAGAATTTTGATTTTTTATATTTTGATTTTATTGATGGTTTGACTATCTGACATAACTTAGATATCAAACCATCTGGTCTTAAACTAGAAATGTTTATTTGAAATTCACATGTACATATTCCACAGCCATCAGATAGCATTCATTGTGTATCAGGTGCCACTATATGCACTTACATTTCACAGTGTATGTACAATACATTAATATCTAGGTGTATTAAATTACACATATTAGATATCAAAATGTATGCACATCACATTATAGAGTATATGTATCCTGCAAAGTATTAGATATCAGTGCACATTCTATATGCATCAGTTATCAGAGTAATGTGTATACTTCTATCAGATATTTAGGGTACATTACAGTATGTGTAACAGATATAGGTATACTCACAGTACTGTACATGTATCAAATACCAAGTTACATGTAAACTGTCAAATATCAGACCTGCATCTTTTTCCTGATGTCATGCTGTATGACTCTTCCACTTAACATGCATTCAATTTCTTGGTTGCTTGCTCCCTGGCTGATTATTTTATCCTTATCCACTAATTGACATCAGTTTCCAAGTCTCTTCCTGCCCCGTTTTATGTTTCTCTTTCCTTTCTCTTCACAGAAAAGGCCTTTTCAGCCTTTTGTCCGAGTGACATTGAGCATTGCTATAGGAGCACCCCAGCACTCTTTATCTATCCATGGTAGCATATATAGATGTCATTCATCTAGGATCCTGGAATAGCCAGGTCCAAAGTTCCTGCTGCTGATAGAGTTTGGCTGAGAGGCAGATCAGTCTATCTCGGGAGGCTGGGATATTCAGAGAGCAGGTAGAGGATTGAGTCCAGGAGGAAGTGGTCTCGAATGGAGCTGTGCGGAGCCAGGAAGGAAGTGAGGACATGAGTTTGAGCCCGGCAGCAGAAGGAAGCAAGGTTCAAGATCAAAGCATAAAGCGGGTGAATTCATTCAATAATGTCAAACCTTGCCAAGCTCTCGGATTCCTGGCACATTCCATGTCAGGTTAGAAAGATAATAACCTGTTAACCAGATGGCATGAGGGAGCCCAGTAATCATGTCTCAGTCATTTCCACTTTATTCTCTGATCATCCTTAAATGTACAGCCATTAGAAGTTAATGAAGGATAATGACAGTGTGGTAGTGTTACACAGCAGATCCATTCAGACAATTCAGAAATTGAAAAGCACAAACTTCCACGCACTAGCACGATATCCAGGATTTCTCACACTGGGCATTCCAACAGAATTAGCAGCTGCTTCCTGTTGTGGCCCCAAGTTTGGATCACAATTTAGGACCTCGAGTGTTAATGGGAGGAAATTTCTCCATATACAGTATTTCTCACCCTTCTAAACTATAACACATTTAATAAAATATCAGATGTAAAAAAAAATAAGTGGTAGTCATTTCATTCAGCAGTCAATTATTTAAGATTTAACAGGAGTATATTTTTTACAAGTAAATTTGAGGTGTATTTTCTTGTCTCCTGAAGGCTGTGATCTGGCTGGGGTACAGTTTCACTGACAGACCCCCAGAACTGTCCAAGTGAGTGTTCCTCACATGAATATGTATCGGCAGGTGATTTGACTGAGGAAAGCCAAGCCCCATCCTGTCCTCACCCAACACTCACACACCTATCAGGGGATGACTGAATAATGTTTTGATCAACCAGGTGTCTGACACATGCAGAAACCCATCCCAATGCTTAGGTGTATCCAAGCTAAACTGAGAATTCCATGTATCCCACCTACACATGGAAATTCCAGAGATAGATTGCTAGAATAGAATGTAGACACTCTCTCGCTGGAGGGACACATCCTGCTTTCCTAATTCCGGAAAGTGTTAGGCGCAGGTTGACAAAGCCAAGGCTTGGGGACCCCAGTGTGTATATTGGGGTAACTGTGGGAGTCTAACCAGCTAAAACCACATAACTTGTCACTGATATCACTGTGTGGCAAGCTTTTCCGCTGCTTGTCCAGCTAGTACCTACCCGTTAGAGCTTTGGATTGCAGGGTTAACAGGAGATGAGTGGGAGGATTCCACGCCCCCAGTGACTGTTCGGATGCCTGGCTAGCACTCAGAAACCCTGGCTGATTTTCTTTTTTCTAGCCCAGTAGCATTGAGGTCAGTTGTAGTACCTCAACTGCAGCCTTGGCTGATATCAACCAACCCAGCACAGACCAGCAGACATCAACCTGCGATCTCTGGGTCTGTGTGTCTAAGTGGTACTCCGAGCAGTGGCATTACGGACTGGAGGTTAAAAAGTATGATGTTCCTCCGTTATTTAGCCTTTAAACTAATTTAAATTTAAATAACTCATCAAGAATTTTTGAACAATTCAACAGTCTTGTATTTAAATGTATGCATCTGTTCAAATATAGAATCTATATACACCTTTCAAATACAGTGCAGAGAGGGAAGTCCTGGTTTCAGGCTTGCAAAATGCCCAGGGGTCAGCCTGCGGTTGCTCCTCTATGCAAATCTTCAATGAATTCATTGCTGAATATGGAAGTAGTAGTTCAGAGCTGATTGTTCAGTGGTTTACAAAAGATGCAGAAGTCGTGCTGTGTGATACAGGGAGTCAGGGCTTGCAAACGCAAAGTATTGGCAACAGAGCCAGTCCTCCAGCTCCACCCTGTGCTCAAGGCTCAACGAACGTTCTGCAAACTTTATCATAAGCAGCGCTCGCTTCACATCAAGCCAGTTCTGTAGAACACCATAAGCCATCTCTTTGCTCCTTAATTTCTGTTCCATGAGGTCTTTCCGTGGACCCCAAAGTAGACACTGCAATATTCGTTTGGCCTCTGAGATATGGATGCGTTTGATGGGATCTGCTTCCAGCAATAGTTGGACTAGATGTTGTAGACCCTTGGAGTAGAGAGAGGCTCTGGGGATTGAGGGAAGATCCTCCAAATTGTACTCCTGCTCTCTGAGCTTCGGGTTTACCTCGAAAGGATTTGGCTGGTGTAAAAGTTCATAAAGGAGGATCCCCGTCTGAAATTCGTCAAACTTTTTGTACTGTGATGCAGACACGATTTCAGGGGCCAAGCGAGCTTGGTCACGTCTGAGCCTAGCGTCATTTGCCACCGGCTTTTGCTTAGCTTTTAAAAAGTTGCTTATAATAAGCCGGGATAAACGGACTTGGCTCAGGCGATCTTTCTTGTTCTCACTGTGCCTCTTGCCGGGTCTACAGTGAACCAGCAGTAGGTTCTCCAGGCAAAGATCGCAGTGTGTGACGTTACGCTCTTTCAGATGCTCCAGACCATTGCAGAGCTGCAGTAGAAGCAGACATACCCAGCGCTCATAGTCGTCTGGCTGTGATCTGTGGAGATGCAGCCACTCCCGTGCATAGTCAGCTGCTGTCTGATGAGGAACCTCCCGGGTTATGACAACCACCCTGTCTGTCACTGAGCTGCTCAGATCAGCAAGACTCGTGTTAGCATTACCCTGGTCATCCCCATCTGCGGTCCTCCCATCCTGCAAAGCGGTGGCTTCTTCATCACGTGGTAGCATGCTCGGAGGAACAGAGGCTATAAAATAGCCACAGTCTTGTTGGATGTTGAAATGGGCTGAGAGGCTCTGCTGCACAGAGAGACTGTAGAAATGGGCTTGATGAGAATCCGGACCATGGTTTTTACAGACCTGTCGGGAAAAAATTCAGAAATAAGATTCTCTCCATATTCAATAAACTGATAATTAGTACCAGGTATAGTACAGGACCTGGAAGCTGAGACTTCACACAGTTTTGAGCATTGAAGGCATGACTGATAAGCTCACAGTATTCGCCCACAAAATATACAGTCGCAGTATATTCTGCATAGCTCTGCAATGGTCTGCAGCATCTTTACAGTATATTCTGTGAAGCGCTTTGAGATGTCTCGAAGACGTGATAAGGTGCTATATCAAATGCAAGGGTTATTATTATTACTATTATTATCATATGTTGTGTGAGTCATTTTTACTATTGTTTCATTTTTATGGTAACAACCAAACAGTTCTCTGACAATCATAATGAAATTATAGCTAGATATTATGTTAGCAATGCATGCTGCTCCTCCACCTGAGTGCCTAACCCCACACATACACAGAAAACATTGAAATCCACACATGCATACACACACAAAACACAAACATACACACACACACAAGATAATTAAACATGCACATAAAACACCAGAGAATCATTCCTACAGCCCACCCCACCCCACGCTAACAGTGATGTTGAAGAAGTATCACATATTCTCAGTGTTAATTAACACCACTAGGTGGCACTACGCCACCCCCCCGCACCCCCCACACACTTTCTCCCTTTTTTGATTCAATTGCCTTGTTTTTTTTCTTTAACTGAAGTAATGATTGTAAATTGCAAGCTCTGGAGCAGACTTCAAGGTTTTTTGTTTAATATTTGTAGTCTAGTCTATGGGTTGAATTGCTGAAGAGGGGCAAAATCCACATTCTACCATAGGCTTCTTAGAAACCTTTATCACAACTTGAAGCTAAGTCCACAATAGCTTTAAAAGACAAATGACTGAAAAACCGTAAAGGGCTTAGAAGGAGCAAGTGGAGTGGGTAGCTCATGAGAAGGAGGCAGCCCCAGCACAAAGACCATGAGCTAAATGGCCCTCTGTAGTGTAAACTTTCTATAATTCTTATCATATCGTAACAGGCGTGTCAACTATTTGCTGGAATAAAATGAGTGGAGCAATGGCTTATGTATACCTCGCAATAAAATTAAGTAATTTTAACAAATTTTCCATAGATTCAGAGTTCAGTAGTATAAAAAAAAGCTCACGGCTTTTTTAAACTTATTTTTGGAATTACATTTAATTATAGCATCATGAAAAGTGTTATGAAGATTCAAAGAAGCAATTTTTCAGTGTAATCATTCTTTCTCAACAATGAAGTATATGATTTCTCTGTCATGTCACGTACCTCATTTTGCAGTACAGCTAACACTGCCAAGGGGGTTGCTTATTGGTACAGCAAATGTGGAGCACATCTTCGGGGACTAAGATCCTGCAGATCCCAGATAACGGATAAACAAATTGCCCTCCCACTTCAATCGTTTCTTTATTGAGTGTATATTTGTCCCGTTTGAGTCTTTGCCCAAGCGCTGTAGATTAATTGCATGGAATTTACTCTAATTAACTCATTAGCAATGTCAATGATGAGATCTAATTTGAAGTAACAAATTAACAAATCTCAGAATTTACAATATGTTCTGTGAAGCGCTTTGAGACGTCGCAACGACGTGATAAGGCACTATATCAAATGCAAAGATTATTATTATTATAAAATAAGAAATATGCCACTTTTGAATATCTAAAACCTAGAAATGTGCTGAAGGATAGATTCAAAGTTTTAGAGATTCGATAATTACACATTTCTTATTAAGAAATCCATTCAGAAATACTGCAGATTAGACTCTGATAAACATACCTTTACTGCATATTGGTTGTCTGGGTCCCTGGCAAAGGCTGCTGAATAGTAAATAGCATCACCAGCATCACAGCAAGGCTGATTACATATCAGCTTGAAATCTGACCAGTTGTTTTCATTGAAGTGCAGTTGTGCTTTCTGCCCTCGCATAAAGAAATCTTCACACTTGACTGCCAGTCGCCGGAGGGACTCTGCGTACAGGCTGCCCAGCTTGGCGTGCATCCCTTCCTTACTGTCCATGTTACTGAGGAGTCTGTGCAGCTGCAGATTCGAGACTGAGGAGCTCTGATTAGCTAAGCTGATCTGATTGGAAGAAACAGACCGAAGGCTTTGATCATTCCTGTTGGAGTTGTCATCTGAACTGTGAGCTTTGTGCATGTAGCCAGGAACACACTTCTCCAGCGACTCACAGGAAGAGAATACATGCTGCCTGTCTGAAGGGCTGGAGGGAGAACACAAATGGCACTCATCTGAGCTGCCCCCCTCATGTCCATGGAGGACACCATCAGAAACACTGACATTCAGGTAGCTGCTGCTGGAAGACGTATTGGTTCTCCTCGGTGATAAGTCCCTCCAAGATGAGCAGTCGGGGGCGGAGGTTGTTCTATTTCCGACTTTCTTTAGGGGAAGCGGCGGAGGCTGGCCCCTGCTGGGAAGTGCATCATCCATTGACTTGGCAGAGACAGGGTGACCATCTCTCCAGCTGTGAGAACCATTTACACAGATCACAATCTCGGCTGCTTGACCTGCAAGGATCAAAAGAGGAGATAATTTAGCAACAATTCAGGAAGCACGTGCTGCAGCACTGTGGGCAAGGTGTGAATGTAGTAGCCATGAAAACTACTGACAGGTCTCGAAGGAGCTTGGGGTTCACCTCTTGTCTAAATTCCTCAGTCATGGCTTTCTTATTAATGAGAGAAGAATTATTGTGCTATATCACCTACTTCTGCCAGATCACATTTGGCGGCATGGACGTGAGGGGGCAGCTCAGATGAGAGCCATTTGTGTTCTCCCTCCATCCCTTCAGACAGGCAGCACGTATTCTCCACCCCAGAGCTGCTTCCTAAGTTTAATAGGACCAGACTCTTTAGACCAACCAAGTGTGAGCCTGAAGCTGTCTAATCCTAAGAATGTTCAGTGCAGGTTGAATCTTCCTGAATGTTCTGAAACTCCCTTCTCCCTTTGAATAGTGCCATGGGGTCTTTAACATCCACCTGAACAGACAGACGAGCCTCGGTTTAACGCTCCAAACAAACCCATAAACTCAGCCAAAAGAAAGAGGTCAGTGGCTGGCTGCTAGATAATGCAGTCACTCCATTCATTACTGAGTAAACGTGTCCCATTCACTGTGCCACAGCCAAATAGCAATCCTGTTTGTCATGTGCTTGGGGTAACAACAACAAATTACATTTGTATAGCGCCTTTCATGTTGGGAGGACGTCCCGAGGCGCTGGACTGTCAGAGATTTGGACCTGAGCATGGATTCAAATCGAGGGGGGGTGGAGGGCAGGGAAGGTTGGGGTAGAAGGTTGGCCAAATGCGCGGTCGAAGAGGAGGGTCTTAAGACATGCTTTGTAGGAGGCAAGAGAGGGTGCAAGGCAAAGGGACTGTGGGATGAAGTTCCAAGTGTGGGGGACGAAAGGCTGAAAGCCCGACCCCAAGGGTGGGGTGGACCAAGCAGGGGACATGGTGAGCAGAGGGAACAGATATGGGGTTAGCAGGACGTAGGAAGGAGCAAGGCCGTGGAGGGTCTTGAAGGCGTGGAGGAGGACTTTGAACTCTATCCTCTGGGGGATGGGGAGCCAGTGGAGCTGGGCAAGGATGAGGTTTAAGGGTAAACCTGGACTGCACAGTTAAAGGCACATTCCAATAGATCAATGATAGCACCAGGATGCAGAGAGCATTGATGTGAAAATCATGGCTATTTGTGGAACATTGTTGTGTGCAGATTGACTGCCAGATTCACCTAAAAAATCAGTTTAACAATCTAAAAATCACTACACTTTACAGTAAATCATGTGTGGCATTTTGAAATGTTTCAATGACATGTTGAGGCAAATGCAAGGATTTTTATTATAAGATTACTGTATTCGTACATGGTCAGTAATCGAGTTAAGATTCTTGCCTGTGTGAGGATTATCATAAATTTCAGAATGTAGAAATATACAGGAACAGAAAGAACATTACAGCTCATTGGATGTTCACTCAAATAGAAAAAAAATGGAAAAAATGACAAATAATCATAAACGATTCCACTGAAGATTATTTCTCCTGGCTGGTTCTATGGAAGAAATATAATAATAATCCTTGCATTTGATATATCCAACTCATTCAGAACTCTGCCGCCCGCATTCTCACCCGCACGAAACTCCACTCCCCGATCACCACAATCCTCACCAGACTGCACTGGTTCCCTATCCCAGAGAGGATCGATTTCAAGATCCTCACCCTCGTATTCAAGTCCCTCCACTCCTCTGCACCCCCCCTACCTCTCTGACCTCCTCTCTCCTCAGCACTGTACCCGTTGCCTTCGTTCCTCCGGGTCTGGCCTCCTCCTTGTCCCCCGAGTCCTCCACTCCACCCTCGGCGGCTGTACCTTCAGCCACTATGCCCCGAGGATCTGGAACTGCCTCCTCACTCCCTTCGTCTCGTTCCCTCCCATTTTCAGATCTCTGCTGAAGACTTTTCTTCCTTTGGTCACCTTCCTCCCCCTCCCCCTGGCTTGGCCCCGGGATCCGTTACTGTAAAGCGCTCCGAGATGCCGTCCAGTGTGGAGGACACTATATAAATCAAAGTTGTTGTTGTTGCTGTAGCACCTTATCATGTCTTCAAGACGTCTCAAAGCACTTCACAGAATATATTGTAAAATTAATTGACTGTATACTTTGTAGTCGAAACACGGCAACCAATTAATAAATAATAATAATCCTTGCATTTGATACAGCTCTTTTCACATCTTCTAGACGTCCCAAAGCGCTTCACAGAATAGACTGTAAAGTGAATTGACTGTATATTTGTGGGCAAACGCGGCAGCCAATTGCGCACAGCAATGTCCCACAAACAGTCGTAGATTGAAAATGACCAATTTATTATTGTTTTTGGTTTTGGAGGGATTATTATTAGGCGTGTAGAGTAAGGAAACTTGCCCAAGGTTTCGCCCTGCCTGGAATTGAACTCAGGTCTCTCGCTTGCAAAGCGAGTGCTCTAACTACTGAGCGACAGGACTGCGCACAGCAATCTCCCACAAACAGTTGTGGATTGAGTGAACAATTTTTTGTTTGTTTTGAAAGAAGTGTTACCCCCGGAAAAGCGATCCGCCAAACAACCGGATGCCTACTTACTGCTAGGTAAACAGAGGCGCGTGGAGTAAGGAAACTTGCCCAAAGTTTCGCCCTAACGGGAATTGAACCCAGGTCTCTCACTTGTGAGGTGAGTGCTCCAACCACTGGTCTACCACATCCCGACTCCTCCGTTCCCCCCGCCCCCCCGCGCAGGTCATCTCCTCCAACCTTCACTGTGAGGAGATGCTGGATTTCCTTGAATCCAAAATCAAGGGAATCCGCTCCACGGTCACCTCCCCTCCAACCTCCACCCAACCCCCACCCCCTCCCTCCCACACTCCGACTCCTACCCATCCTCCCCTACACACGTTCGTACCCGTTTCCCCACCCTCTGTCACCAAACTCATCCTATCCCTGAAACCCACCACCTGCTCCCTTGACCCCATCCCCACTCCACTCCTCATCTCTCAGCTCCACCTCCTTGCCCCACATATCACAGACATCATCAACCTGTCCCTCTCCTCTGACTCTGTTCCCATTCCTTCCTGTCCAAAGTCCTCGAAAGAGTTGTCGCCTCCCAGCTGCGCTCTTTCCTCTCCACCCATTCACTATTCGAACCCCTTCAGTCGGGTTTCCGTGCTGCCCACAGCACAGAAACTGCCCTGGTCAAGGTCACCAATGACATCCTGACCATCTGTGACCAGGGCTCCCTCTGCCTCCTTGTCCTCCTCGACCTATCGGCAGCATTCGATACGGTCGACCACGCTATCCTACTCCACCGCCTGTCCTCCCACCTCAACCTTCAAGGCCCTGTCCTTGAGTGGTTTAGGTCGTACCTCTCCCACCGTCTTCATTTTGTTTCCACAAACGGCTTTTCCTCCAGCCCCCGCACTGTCTCGTGCGGTGTCCCTCAGGGCTCTGTCCTCGGTCCCCTCCTCTTCACCCTCTATATGCTCCCCCTGTGGTGACATCATCCGCAGACATGGGGTTAACTTCCACATGTATGCGGATGACACCCAACTCTACCTTTCCTCCTCTACCCTCAACTCCACGACCACCGATGTCCTGACAGCTGCCTGTCCGACATCGAGTCCTGGACGAGAGACAACTTTCTTCAGCTCAACGTGCGAAAAACTGAGGCCCTCCTGATTGGCTCACGTCAGCGCCTCCGCACCTCAGGCGCTGACAGCATCAGCATCCAAGGCTGCACTCTCCACCTCTCAAAGCCATCAGGAACCTCGGGGTTCTGTTCGACCCTGAGCTGTCCTTTCTCCCTCATATCCGCACCACAACTGGCACCGCCTTCCATCACCTCCGGAACATCGCCAGACTACGGCACTACCTCACCCCTCACGCGGCTGAAACTCTGGTCCACGCCTTTATCACCTCAAGGCTGGACTATGGGAACTCTCTCCTCGCCGGCCTTCCCGGCACCTCCCTCCACACTGCAGGTCATTCAGAACTCTGCAGCTCGTGTACTGTCCCGCACCAGGCTTCGGGACCACATCACTCCCACCCTCGCTCGCCTCCACTGGCTCCCCATCCCCCAGAGGATCGAATTCAAGATCCTCATCCTCACCTACAAGGCCATTCACGGCCTTGCTCCCTCCTACCTCTCCAACCTACTATCCCCCTACCTACCTGCCCGTACCCTCCGTTCCTCTGGCTCCGGTCTGCTCCACGTCCCCCGCCCCAACCGCCCTACCATCGGTGGTCGGGCCTTCAGCCTCTCAGCCCCGAGGCTCTGGAACTCTATCCCCCAGTGCCTTCGCCGCTTCCTCCCTTTCCTCCTTCAAGGCCGGTCTCAAAACCTTTCTCTTTGACCGAGCCTTCAGCTCCCTTCTTGACTCTCTTCCCCCTCCTCGCTTCCTCCCTTCCCTCCCCTCACCCTGACCATTTCCCCCTCCTCGCTCCCTCCCTTCCCTCCCCTCACCCTGACCATTTCCCCCCTGCTCGGGTCCCGACCCAACTGTACAGCGCCTTGGGACGTCCTCCCGACCTGAAAGGCGCTCTATAAATGGACTCTTGTTGTTGTTGTTGTTGTACAGGACTCCACATATACTTCAAACACAACATTTTAGAACACAGGAAAATATACCTTGGGCTGAGAGATTTACTTACCCCTGTCATGAAAGGTCCTTGTGTCAGAATCAGAGCCCAGACTCTCAGTGGAGACTGCAGGGAATCTACCATTCATTCCTTCGGAAATTCCCACTAGATTTTCCACAGAGCCACAGCTTGGCTTTTCTCCCTCAGAAGTGCTATGGCTCATCTTTATCATCGACCGTTCTCTAAGCACAGGAAGGAAAAATACATTTATTAGTAAATAAAAACAAGCACAGTTTTACCTTTGTGTTATTATAATCATTATCTTTCAAAGAGTTAAGAACAAAGAAAGTATGCTTAACTGAGTCATAAATCTCAGAACTGTGCTACTTCCCACTTCGCAACCCACAGTACGGAACATCCTGTACAGATTCAGACCTCCTAACCACCAGGTCTCCTCAGCGCTGTCTAACTTTAATCCTGTGACTTTCAGTCAAGGAAGCCTTCTTCATAAAACAGTAATTCACACAACAACACACACAGCACACATTGGCCTGTCTACCCATCCAAATTCCCCAAAGATTCCTTTGACACATCTATCCTATCACCTAATAACCTTTTATCCTTTAATTCATTTTTGAATCCCTTTTTACATCCCTTTTCCATCATCTGTGCTAGGCATTTGTTCAACATGCCTATCACCTTTTATTAAATACATCTCCATTTTCTATCCGTTTTTGTCCTATTTTGAAGCTATAATATTTTGCGCTTTAGTTTGCCACACAACAGAAAAGCTTGCCTGCCTCAAAATGTTCTCCTAAGTCTTCCTAAATGTAAACATCTCTATCATTCTCCCCTGCCCTTCTCAGTTTTCAGAAAAGTCTTTTCAGAAAAGTCCCAGGCAGGCCAATCCTTCCTTCTAGCTTTGTTCCCTAAATTCAACTCAGGGGAAATCATGTCAATAGTGACCTGATGATCCGGAAGTCTGGCATTGCTTTTAGCATGGGAAGTAAACATTGGTTGTTGGGTCCACATGACACCAATACTGTACAATTCACAATTATATTATGTCTTTCATGTCAGGCGGATGCCTTAAAGTTCTGGCTGGTTACCTGAGGTGGGAATGGGAGTCAAAGGGAGTGGGGAGGGGATGGGAAAGATGACTAAAAACATGGTCAAAGAGGATAATCTTGAGATGGGCCTTGAGCGATAGAAGGGAGCGAGCTATCCAGGATGGAATTCCAGACAGTGGAGGCAGAATGACTGAAAGACTGTGCTAAAATGGGGGGTTAATCCTGTGAAGCTCTTCAAGATGTCCTCCTGACATGAAAGATGCTATATTAAATGTAGCATCTTTTTAATTATTAGGGTGACACTCCAGAGAAGTGTTGGGATAGCACCGCATTGTCAGAGGTGTCATCCTTCATATGAGATATTAAACTGCCCGTTCGGATGGATGTTAAACATTCCAAGGCACGTTTCAAAAAGAGAAGGCAAATTTTCCCAGCGCAGTGTCCTGGCCAACAATTCCACAGATAATCCCAATTCCAATCCAACCAAATCCCCAAACAATCCCACAGAGTCCAGGCCTCTCCCTTCACTCAGGGAGCACTATCTGCTTTATGGGCCCTACCCTATCCACCCCAACATCTGTGGGTGTTTTGTCAGCCATTCTGCCCCTCTCTCTGAAACTCCCTGCTGCAATCCCTCTGCTCCCTACCTCCCCTCTTTCAACCCATGTCTGAAAATGTACCTCTTTCGTTGCGCTTTCAGTCATCTTTTTACTATTCACCCTTCCCCCTTGGATCCCAACCCACCCCTCCCACCACCCCCCAACAGCTTGGGTGCCCATCCGTGTGTTTGTGCTTTTGGGATGTCCTCCTGAAGTGAACAGTGCTACATAAACATAAGTTTTATTGTATTGAATAGAATTGGTCATTCACTTCAGAGCTAGTTGTGGGACATTGTCATGTGCAAATTGGCTGCAGTATTTGCCTACAAAGAGTCACTACACTTCACAGTAAAATCCTGCGAAGCTGTTTGAGATGTTTTCATGATACGATAAGGCGCTATATCAAACACAAGGCTTATTATTAGCAGGAAAAATTTTAAATTCAGACTCTCTGCCCAGAACACAGAAATATGCAGCAAGATGAAAGCGAGTGCATGATGCATTATTCACCAGTTCTCATCACTGCAAGGTTCCCTGAGCCTGTCACAGGACTTTTAACATAAGCAATACAACTATACAGCCGGGACTTATTTTACCATTTTTAGTGCTTTTGAAGGACAAAAAACATGAGCTCTGTGTTTTAATTGGAAAGATCTTTCTACCTCATCGCCCTGTAATTTATTATAGTTTCCCTAATTTGGAGTTTTTTTTCAAAAAGAGCTTTAGGCCAGCATCTATCATGTCATTAAACTCTTAACAAAGATGCTCTCTCCATGCAGAGTGTGGGAAGATTGCTGTTTATCTCAACCAGGCTCAGTGTGAGTAGTATTGAATGGTTGGACCACTTGCTGGAGGCATTTTGTGGGTATTAGAGGACAGCCACTTGAATCAATGCCTATTGCAAAGGTTGTATTATCACAGATAATCTTCTGATATCTAGACAGCAGTGGAAACATGAAAGACTAGGTGGAATTCAGGGCCTCTGTTCCCAAACCATGCCTAGACTTAGCCAGTGAGACCATTTTGCTTAAATTTTTTGTTGGAGCAGAATTGCAGGGGAAAATAATATGGGTAAATGCAAGGTACTGCATATAGAATACAAGAACAGTAAACACAAGTTCTCCATGGATGGGATTGCACTTGCCAAGGGGGAAGCTGAAAGAGATCGATGGGTGTTTGTTGACTTGTTGCTCTATGTTAAAACAGCAGGAGGCAGAAATAAACAAGGCAAACATGATGCTGGGCTAGATTGCTAAATCAGTTGAGTTTTGATCCCCAAACGTTATACTTAGGCTGTTCAGTGCTCTGCTAAGACCACACCTACTGGTCACCATAATATGAGGGGGTTGCCCAGACCCTAGAGGTGGTGCAGAGGAGATCTACGAGGATGATCCCCAGTGTTAGAAGAATGAGCTACGAGCAACAATCGGGCAAACTAGAGCTCTTTGGTCCTGAGAGAGGATGACTTAGGGGGGACCTCATAGAGATGTGTAATATTTTAAATGGGATTGAAAAAGTAAACCCAAATCATTACTTTAGAAGGCATCAAGACAGTAGACCAATAGGACATAAGTGTAGAGTTGTAAAGGGCAATTTCAGGACAGATACCAGGAAGCTTTTCTTTATTCAGAAGATAGTTATAATAATTATGTATTATAATTATTGTGGAGTCCTGCAACTCAGTGGTTAGAGCAGTCGCCTCACAACTGGGTTCAATTCCCGGCAGGGCGAAATATTGGGTAAGTTTCCTTACTTCACACAGCTCTGTTTACCGAGCAGTAAGTAGGAACCTGGTTGTTAGTCAATTGGCGGATTGCTTTTCCAGAGGTAATAATTCCTTCAAAAAATATATATATTAATAAATTGGTCACTTCAATCCACAACTGTTTGTGGGACACAGCTATTAATTATAATAATAATCCTTGCATATAATAATACTCTTTGATATAGCGCATCTTCGAGATATCTTAAAGCACTTCACAGAATATACTGTAAAAAGTTAATTCACTCCATATTTTGTGGGCGAAACGTGCAGCCAATTGCACACAACAGTGTCCCACAAACAGTCGTGAATTGATTGACCAAATTATTATTAATATTTTTTTGAAGGGATTATTACCCCCAGGTAACAACCGGGTTCCTACTTACTCCTAGGTAAACAGAGGCGTGTGGAGTAAGGAAACTTGCCTAAAGCTTGCGAGGCGAGTGTTCTAAACGCAGAGCTACAGGACTCCACAAATTAAAGACAGGAACAGGTTGCCAGGAAAGGTGTTTGAGGCCAGGATGTTGGACTCAGTTAAAAAGCAGCTCAATGCTGTGATGGGAGGATGGTAAGGTGGGTATTCAAGAAGGATGAAATCAGATAGGCCAAAGAGCTTTCTCCATACAAACTGATCTTGTAATCTTATGAACTCGTGAGGTCTCCCATTAGCCCCACAGTCAACATCTTTCAGACTATAAAATATGCTGCAATAGTTTGGAACCAGTTGTACAGTATATTGGGAAGGCAAGTGAGGAACAACTGGAAGCTTGTACATGAGCAGTTGCTGCAGTGTGGGCTTGTGCAGAGAGTACTTGCTCAGCCTCAATAACCACCTGTACCAATGTGTTCCATGGTCTAACAACCCTCCGTGTGAAAATGTTTCTATTAACCTCCCTTTCCAGTGACAACCCTGAGCTTATGTCCTCTTGTTACTGATTTACCGATCAGTGGAAACATCTTTCACTATCTATCTTCTCTTTTAGATCTCCTCTTATCATTCCCTATGCCAGTAAAAACACAACTAATCTTTCAAGCTTACTCTCTTAACTATAACCCTTCCCCACGCCATTGCTCTGATGTGCTCTCTGTAACTGGCTACACAGAATTGCATGTAAGCACTGCCTGATATAAATGTAACACCACTTCCTTGCAGATGAAGTTACAATACAATACAAACTGACATTTACATGAGACATTTCATGTCATCAGGCATCACAAGCCACTGGACATTTCAAAGCGCTTCACAGAATATACTGGACTCACTGGACTCTTATTAACATTTCAGAATGTGCACAATTTTGCTAATTTTTAAATACAATTTTAATTTTAAAATTCATTTCTTATAAACTTGTTTGTACCCAAGTTGGGGATAGGTGCCGAGGGGGAGTCCGGAGCCTTTTTGCAGGAAAGAACAGATTTTAATTCTGGAGCAGTTACAACTTCTGAAGAGTGGAGCTGGGAGGCCAACAGGGAGAGCACTGGGAAAGTCTTCAATCTCCTTATATTTGCCTCACCCTGGACATAGGAACAAGGAACATAGGATCAGGAGTAAGCCATTCAGTCCCTCGAGCCTCTTCCGCCATCCTATTAGATCATGGTTGATCTGTATCTCAAATCCAAATGCCCGCCTTTGCCCCATAAGCCTTGATACCCTAACCTAAAAATCTATCCAGCTCAGTAACATTTGTTATAATATAATAAGGATAATCCTTGCATTTGATATAGATCCTTGCATTTCATGTCAGGAGGATAACCTGTACTTGGAGTCCTGTAGCTTAGTGGGTTAGAGCACTCGCCTCGCAAGCGAGAGACCTGGGTTCGATTCTAGGCAGGGCGAAATGTTGGGAAAGTTTCCGTACTCCACAAGCCTCTGTTTACCTAGCAGTAAGTAGGAATCCGGTTGTTAGTTGATTGGTGGATCGCTTTTCTGGGGATAATAATTCCTTGAAGTTTTTTTTTTAAAAATGTGGTCACTCAATCCACAACTGTTTATGGGATACTGCTGTGCACAATTGACTTCTGTATTTTGCCCACAAAATATAGTCAATTCACTTTACAGTATATTCTGTGAAGCGCTTTGAGACATCTCAAAAACACGATAAGGCGCTATATCAAATGCACGGATTATCGTATCTCAAAAGTGATTCACCGTAAATACTGTGAACTGTAGTTACTGTTTATTTTGTAGGCAATCACATCAATCCATTTATTTTCAGTGATGTGCTTAAACAGCCAGGAAAAAATTTTTATCTGGCAAATTGTTGGCCAGGACACCAGCTGAAACCCCTTCTCTTCTCGAATAGTGTCATGGGATCTTTAAAACCCAACTGAACAAGCAGATGGGCCTCGGTTTAACATCTCATCCAAAGGACGGCACCTCCAACAATGTGGCACATCCCCAGTACTGCATTGCAGTGTCAGCCAGGGCCAACTGAGTTCAAAGCCTTGATGTAAGACTTGAACCCACAACTTGTGACTCAAAGGTGAGACTGCTACCAACTGAGCTAGGCTGACATCCAAAGAAGATCATATTCCTAATAAAGGGTTTGTAATTTTAATACATACTGACAATGCACCAAATTTGAATTATATCCAAATACAGATTGCAGATTTTCAGAAAAAAACGCATAAAATTGGCACTCAATTCTCAAAAATGCAGCCCCCCGTAAAACAATAAATACAGAATTTAAAGTCAAAGATGTTTAGAGAGGGAAATATCACCCAAAATAACAATTAACAATTAGCATTCACTGCAACAAATAGATTCATCCAAAAATTAAAAGCAGGTGATCCAAATCTCAGACGATTTTAGACATTGGAAGCACTTTGAATGTAACTTGCAGCAACAACGACTTGCATTTATATAGCGCCCTTCATACAGGAGAGTGTTGCAGAGTGCTGAAGGTTGTTGCTATACAGAGAGACTTTAACAATCTCGATTCCCTGAACACAGTGTTTGATTTTCACTTCAAACTCTCCAGCAACAATAGTTTTGTCCCTTGCCTTATTTTCAGACACAAGAGTGTATTATTGCCATTGGGAGTCTGTGAAGTGGTTTCAGACATCCTCCCGACGTGAAAGGCACTGTACCAAATGCAAGCATTAATATTATCATTATCATCATTTGCAATAAAAAAGGCATTTTTTTTAGCCTCTCCCTTTAACCCTTTGGTGATAACCCTGAGTATCTGGATGTCCAGGTGTACAGTGTGCTATTGGGAGTGGAAAAGCTCACTTTCTGGAATGACTTTACTGGGCTAGGCTGACATCCCCTCCCCCGGCTCGGTCCCGGGATCCGAAATTGTAAAGCGCTCTGAGACGCCGTCCGGCGTGGAGGGCGCTATATAAATCCAAGTTGTTGTTGTTGTTGTTGGGTTTATTTCAGCTATGCTCTGATTGTACAGTTCCAAACCCTGGACAGAAAGCTTGTAGCGCTGCCAACAGAGGCCAACTGACTCCCCATACATTGGTGACTGAACTGGAGCAGCCATTGAGTACTGGATGAGCTCTAATTTTCCACAGTTGAATTCAACACGACAGAGGCTCATTGGTTCCTGTCAGTATCTTCTCGCCTCAGGTGCTGACAGCGTCAATCTACACAGATACACGGAGACCATCCAAAACCTTGGTATGTTGTTCAACTCTCAACTGTCCTTTAAACTTGAAATCCATGGTTCAAATTGCTCCCTCCTCTCCACACTGTTGTATTTCATGTCCCCCGCCCTATCCACTGTCCCATCTGTGATCTCCTTCCCATCTCTGGAACTCCATCCCAGAGTCCCTGCAACTCAATCCTTCCACACCTCATTCAAAGTCCAACTCAAGATCTACTGTTTTGACCACTCTTTCAGTCATCTTTCCCCCCCCCACCCCCTCATCTTGCACTCCCAAACATCCTCCTAACATGAAAGGCGCTATATAAATGTAAATTTGTGCTGTATTGTAAAACAAGCAGTCAATTCAGAAGAGTAGAGTGTAGTCCTGGACATCGCAGTGCTTCTATTTACATGAACAATTCTAGCACACAGAAAGTTGTCTCTTTCTGTCCAATCATAGTATGTTCTGTTTCTTAACTCAATAGGGAAAAGAGGAGTTGGGTCTAGATTTACTCTTATTAACATTTCAGAATGTGCAGAATTTTGCAAATTTTTAAATACAATTTTAATTTTAAAATTCATTTCTTATAAACTTGTCAATGTTAAAGAATAAATTCAACAATTTGTCAAATTCTTCATGATGTGAAATTCTGAAAAAATAAAATTAGACCAGGAGAAATTTCTCTCTCACACACACACTGAATGACAGCAATAGCTAACTGTGCTGTGTGTATTGGCACATGGTAAGGTGAGTGTTTGTGAGTGTACTGTGCCTGGAGTTACAAAGCTGAGGTGGCAGAATTCCAGCACACTTCACAGTAAAGAGATAGCATGTGCACTTATGAAGAGTGCTGAGCTCTAAATCTGTTGTGAGATCTTGGGAATGGACCACAGCAGACCAGTGGGGCCCAGTCAACAGAACATTCGTCACCCTGGACTCAAACACATGACAGCTGATAAGGTGCTTGTCCTAACTTGTAGTTAAGTACCGTCACTGCTCGAACAGTTTAAAGTAAAGGTTACCTGCTCTGTTTCTTTGGGGGAGGAGGTGGAGGTACTGTGTTGGTTGCTGGGTTTCTACTCTCAGTCCATTCTGAAGAAGAGTAGATTGTAGCCTTGGAAACATCAGATCTTCTATTTCCTTCAGAATAGCTTCCAGCTTGGCTCTTTTCCCCATAATGGACAACACCACTGTATGTTATTGGTGGTATTGGTGCATTATAAGTACTGGCTGCCGTTTCCAAGCTTTTATCCCCTCTCTTGGCACAATGGGAATCCATCGGACTTACAGGTTGCCCTTCTTGTGAATGGTTCCTTGTTTCCTCATTCTCTTCCTCTTCATCTATTTTGCACTGTTTGCCCCATGCTGTTTTGTAGTATCTACTTCTTCTCTCTGCTGTCAGTGAAGAGGAGCTAAGCTCAGCTGTTTCAGTGAGGACTCTGCTATAGGGATGGCTGATGGGTATAGTTATTGAGAGCTTGCCTGATTGCTCAGCTCCAAGTGATTCTTTGCTTATATCTGTTGGAGAAGGACAGTGCTGCGACACTGAATGGTTTTCACTGGCTGTATCGCTTCCTACACTGTCACAGGACTTATACATGGAGAGATTGTTTAACTCCTGTGATTTGCTGTTTCCTGTTGAGATTGGTTCTAGGACTGTGCTGGCTTTTGACTGTTTAGGAGGTACTGCAGGGATAGGGCGGGAAGAATGCTGCAGGTTTGCCGTCTCTATTGAGCAGGATTCATGGCTGCTCCTGTGTTGATTTGAATAACCAGTGGGCGAGTGTTGTAGGGATGGAGAGGGGTTACCATGATCTTGATGTGCATTCGCTCCTGGATTAAAACATTGCCATTGCACTGCAACAGCAGAGTCAGGGCTGCTTAGATAAAATGTCCTGTTGTCTTCATCGGTGTGTGATGTCACCACAGTAATAGTGGGTCTCTGACTGCTGACATCATCAGTACCCACCACATCTGTTCTTCCATCCTCTTGGTGCTCCACCACCGTTTCTTTCTGCAGAGTCTCCACTGTTGACCACTGAGCTTTCCTGACATTATTTTTGTTACCAGGTGCTCTATTTTTCCTTTTTGTGCTCTCTGCATAGATTGGTTCGTTTCTGTCAGGTTTCAGGACCGAGTTCACGGACCAATTGCACAAATTACCGTTGTTATTCCTTACCGTAGGTCTGATCTCAGGAACAGCTATTTCCTCCTTATTTTCACTGCAGTTTGTACAATCCGACCCAGAGGCTTCATGACAGTGCTGCTTTATCTGTGAGGCATAAGAACGTATCTGTGTCGCCTCCCATGGAAGCAGTTCCTTAGGGTTCCCACATCCAGACATGAACAAGACGTCTCTACTGTCTGGACATGCAGCCTGGTGATGTAGAGATGAGTCACATGTATCCAGATGTTCCTGCAGATATTGCTCATTGCACTGTATACTCACTTCACCATGGTAGCTTGATCCTAACTTAAAGAATGTATTTGTTGTTGTTTCAAACTTCCTGATCTCCCGATGTTCAGCTCCCATCTGTGATTTACTGCAATCTCTGTTCAGGCTCAGAGCTTTGTCCAGGGGATAGATTTGATCAGAACCACTAGGAAAGGCGAGGTCTGGTATTGCTGCTTCAGTACTTAAAGAATTATTTGGACTTTGTATCAACATGTAGGAGTTCATGACGTTGCTTGTCTCCTCATCAAGTGAATAGAACTGCAATACCTCTTCATAACTGCTGCACATTGGTTTCTCTGCCTCAGTGCTCCTGCTCCGAAGTGAATTTTTCAAGTTGTTTGGCGATGGCAGGTTTAAACTCTTAAATTCCTGGTGTGGAAATAAACTGTGCTGCTGCTGTTGCTTGTCCACGCCGCGAGTGATTGTGAAGGTGTCGGTGTTGGCTGGTGTCGACATGTAGCCATGCCCCTCCCCATCACCCGATGACTCTGTGTGATACACATTCTGCTCATACAGAGATTCACTCCCATGTCGTGATATTTCTCCACAATTCTCTTTAGGACACCACGAATGTACAGCATCATCAGAGGAGTGGTTCCCCACAGCCGCTCGCAAACACCTGCAGGAGTTACAATCCAATTGCATTGTCCCGGGCTCTATGTCATTATTATTCTGACAACTTTTAGATTTTTCGGATGACATTTCCTGGGTTACCTGCAGGTTTCAAAAGTTAGTGGTTGTTATTGTTATGAGTGAACTAAGCCTAACAGCCTAACACAGGTTAGGAATTCAATGAACAGCAACTCTAAAGGAAACACAGATGAAACATTTTGAAACTTTACTCGTTGCAATAGAAGTTGTGAAATTGCTTCTAATGAGATACTGACTGATTTTCAAGTTCGTGCAGACTGTTAATCAGGGATTTCTGACAGTCACTTTGCATTAAATCTGGACTGTCTGATCATGACAGGAAGGAAGGAGGTGCCTGTCACCTTGTCTGAGGTCATTTCAAAACTGAACAAAGGCTCTGGATTGACTGGACACACTGACTAATATGTTAACAAGCCGACAAAACTGATTTTAAAAACAACTGAGTCAAGGTGCCACCCAGAAAGATACAAAATCATACAGTTCACAGGTTTAAATCTCAGTCTGTGCTGAGTTAGCTGATCTCAGCACACAGCAGTTGGGCTACAACAAATAGCTACAGCACCCCACACTTGGGATGGAGAATCCAAGCCAGGGCTCAGTTGAACCATATCCCACCAACAGCTGATGGCATCAGGAGGGAACGTGTGGAGAAAAAATATCAGTAAAGTGTTTCCACTCGTGTCAAAATCAGCAACTAACTAATTATTTGGGAGGTAAAGGGACATTTTAGCTTTGTTGCATATCTGAATAGTTGGCTGGTGTGCAAGTATAGATGTATATCACACTCAAATCGGATGAATAAAAGGATGAATAAGAATACCTAGCAAGAGGATAGTAATATGGCATGTACTTCTGTTGTAGATTACAACAACAACTTGCACTTATACAGCGCCCTCCACACAGGGTAACGTCTCAGAGCGCTTAACAGTGGCGGAGCCTGACTCCAAGCTGGGGAGTACAGAGGTAGCCTTAAGCAAGGTTGAAAAGGAAGGTTTTCAGGTGGGACTTGAAAAAGGGAAGCGAGGGGGCAAGGAGGAGGGATTGAGGGAGAGTGTTCCAGAGTTTCAGGGCGTAGTAGCTGAAAGTGTGACCTCCAATGGTGGAGCGGAGGGTGCGAGGGATAAGTAGGAGGTTATGAGCAGTCAAGCGAAGGTGCCAGGTGGTGAATTGGGGAGTGAGGAGGTAGGGCGGTGCCAGAGAGTGAAGGGATTTGAATACGAGTGTGAGGATCTTGAAGTCAATCCGTTCGATGATGGGGAGCCAGTGGAGCCTGGCCAGAATTGGTGAGATGAGGGTACAGAGTTTGGTCCAGGTAAGTCTGGGTAAGTATTGAAGGCTATTGTCTTCAATGATACAATGAGGGACAATGGATTCTAGGTGAAGTTTGGCTAAGTTACGAGCACTTTTGCCTCTGGGATAGAAGGTTGTAGGTTTGTTCATTCACTGCATATCCCTCACATCTATATCATATCCAAACTAATCCATGACCCACATTGTGCCAAGAATAATGAATTTAACCTTTAGATTATTTGATTATTCACCTCATGGATATTTATGGAACCTTGCTGTGTGCAAATGGTTGCCAATTTGCCTACACAAACAACCATTACACTTGACAGTAATTACCTCTGTGCATTTAGATGTTTCAACCTGACAAGGCACTACAAGATACAATTTTTCTCTTTAAAGAAGCAAGAGGTCTACTGGAAGGATCACGAAGAATGGACAAGGATTGCCACCGCACAACTGTAGACAAGGGAAAGGGATGACAATTCCAACAGAGGAGCAATGTCTAAGGAACTTGAGACTCTTCTGAAAGATTGTCACATCATGTGCTTCATTATGTCCCTGAAGCAAACACATAATGGGAGCTCGGACACGAGAGGGTTACCAGAGAGCGAGTGGCTATGTGTGAGACCGCAGAATGAAGTGACAACTCCAGAAGTGGGGAGAACAAATGTGAAAACATTTCCAACAATTAACAATTAAGCTCAATGTTAAAAATCTAAATAATCTGTGAACACTAAACAGTGGGTGAACAGCACTCCCCATGTCAATTTCATCAGTCCAGTATCTGATAGAAGAGTGGCAGCGTTCAGACCCTGACATACACAGTGATAGTGGTCCCATTGTACTAATAGAGACATGCAGCTCCATTCTTTACAATGTTCCTATAGTTCATTTTGATTTATAATGATCTAACTGGTCAAGGGGTACAGTGAAAACCCTTTCAAATACTAGAACTAGACTGCTTGGTTACAGGGATAGTGAGGGTCTCTTTGACAGAACTTTTATATGTCTCTTTGGCTCATTTGCTCTCAGCCTTGCTGCAAAACCCATTGCTGGAAAGAACTATTTGGGGTTTAAATGCTTTACTGTCTGCGTAATTAGCATCTGAAATTGCAGAATTCAATACCAAATAATTTGCTTTTGAAAATATTCTCAACGATCAGCATTTTGCTTAATGACCCTTTGACCATATTCTTCAGGACGTTTTTTCAGGCAAGAGACGGAGTGAAAACAAAACACTGGCCGTGATCAGATCGAGAGGTCGTTGTTAGCCCAGTGACTTCCAGTTTGTACAAATCCCATGTCAGCTTACGGCCTGACATTAATAAGCACATTCAACATGTACAGTACCTGCTGCCCTTCTGAATTCATATTCACGTCTGCCCACATCTCAGTAGCACCGTCAGAGTTCATTAGAGTTGGCTTGACTGCTATAGTGGGTTTGGAGTGAGATGAAGCCAGTGCATATTCCTCATCCAAGAGAGTCCTGTCACCGTTGTTTTTAAAGACATTTGTGGTGTGTGTAGCTACTTTGCCGGTGTCAGTCGCTGTCTGTAGCTTGTGGGAACCTCTTGATTTGAAGCAGTTCTTGCAGGAGCCAGGCTTCCAAACGTGTTCAGAAAAATCATTGCAAAGAGACATTTTGAGTGCTTAGTGTTCGTGTCAATCTGGACCATGAGCAGCACAAGGCTCACTGTCTCTCATGTTGCAGTGCTATCTTAAATGTGTCAGTACCTTCACGCCAGTTGTACACCACCCCTGCAAAGAAAATATCCTTCAGTAATGTTTATTTGGGCAATGAAATCTTACAGCACATTTGTTATATAGACGCCTACATATGCCCTTCAACTAAAAGGGACTCACCCGTGTAACAGGTGAGACTAAATAGTTTGCATTACTGGCCACTAGTTGACATTGGTGAGGGATTCAGTGCTCGGTAAAATCATCAAGGTACAAGCCTGTGGAAAATAAATGGAAACTATCTTCTATTAAATATAAACATATAAACATGTAGAAAAGATCAGCTTTCAGGCTAAACTTCACAGTAAATGCCTGTGAAGAGCTTTGAAACATCTAATGTCATGATATGGGACTCTATCAAATGTAAGAATTATTATTATATATAAAGCCATAAATTACTAATTGTGATATTTGTGCCTGTTTGATATATATTATAAAGAACTTGACTTTGAGAGTACCTTATATGCCAAAATAAAGCATTTATTAGGCCCATATAATACACACAGTCACACCACTTCACAGTTTTATCCTGTGAAGCACTTTGAGACATCTCAACGACATGATAAGGCGCTTATCAAATGAAAGGATTGTTATTATTATTATTATTATTATTATTATGTTATTACAGTTTAAATCACTCTGTAGAGGTATTTTCTAAGTGGTTTTCAGTAATGGTCAGCCAGACCGATAACACTGCCAAGTTACACATGAATGAATGGCTGTTACTTTTCTTGGTATGTTTGAACTTCCCAAAATAGCTACTTTTTGCAGGAAGTTGATATTTTGTTCACCGGGTATTTTGCCAAGCCATTTCTAAATAGTTTTATTAACAGTCCCAGTTGCACCAATGATTATAGAAACTATGTTTATTTTATACTACCACACTTGTCTGCATTCAATTTGTTAGATCGTTATAATTCCTGCTCTTCACTAGTTCCTTATTTCTTAGGATGTAATCACTTAGGATAGCTAAAATGAATAATATTACATGTACAATCTATTTGGTTCTTTACAATAATATCTGGCTCGTTACAGATTACTATTCTCTCTGTGTGTACTTGTGAATTGTTCTTTTTATTATAAAAACAGATACAGTTGTTTCACAGTAGTGTCATATGTAGTGAGTATTTTTATATGCACGCACAGCAGGCATTTTGTCCCACAACAACAACTTGCATTTATATATCGCCCTTCACACAGGGTAGCGTCCCACAGCGCTTGAGCACAAATAACCATGAGGTGAATGACCACATTATCTGGAGCATTATTGACCGGGACAGTGGGAAACACAACCTTCTCCAGAGTGTAGTGGGATTTACAGCATTCTTTTTCAAAGTCCTAAGAATTGTTTGGCTTAATGTTAAATATTCATTACTAACAAAAATGTTTGGTGTTTTCAGAACAGTTTAATTGTAGCTGTGATTATCTCATTTATTTTGTTTCTTAAAGAGCAGAGATACTGACCTACATTGTGTTCCTCTCACAGCAACAAGTTCACAGATGTCTTAAATTTTTTTAAAGCAGATTTATTCCAAATGTCTTTCTTTCTTGTGAGGTACTGTACTAGACAATATTGGAATTTGATACCTCTTAGAAGTTTAAACCCAATTGGACTGCCAAGCACTGATGGCTAAAAATACCAATCTTTAATTTAGAATATCCTATTATAAAGATGAGACAAATGATCCCTATATTTAGCAGCTACATTATGATAGACCCCAAAGCTAACCATCACTTTCTAAACCAGGATTGTTGGGTTATGAAAATGTTGACTGATTGTAACTCAGGATAATTCCATAGTCATACTCAGCAGAAACCCAGGCACTGATGGTTGATTCTGCAGGGACAAGGGGCAATGTTCTGGTGAAGAAAGTCTCTTCCCCTTTGCGAGGGGGAGGGGTGGTAAGCAAGGTAAGCGGGATCTCCTTGAAGCTGAGCTGGCTCCAAGGTGACATGCTTTGCAACAGAACATCAGAAGCAAGTCAATCCTCTGTGGCAGTCTTAGAAGTCTGGCTCCTGAGCCAGGCGGTTCCACAGTATGCCAAGGTACTGCTCATGATAGCACATTTGCAGGATTTGGAGAGGCAGACCTCCAAGACTTGGTCAGGGATTCTTTTCAATCAGCTCCTGCTAACCCTGCAAACCAAAGCCCTTGGATAGAGTGGATCTCGGTAGACAAGCAATGGGAAACTTGCCAGACAGTTCTATCAATGGCAAGCTATCCGGTTTTACCCGGTTAATCTTCAGCAGTACCCCAATCCAGTCTCTAGGTTCTTCAAGCCAATCTGTGATCAATACTCTCCGGAATTAGGTAAGCAGGGTGCATCCCTCTGGGGAGAGAGTGCGCATTCCATTCCAGACCTGGGAATTTCCATGTGTAGGTGGGATGCATGAAACTCTCAGCCTAGTTTGAATACTCCTCAGCATGGTGATGGGTTTCCAGTGTGTCAGACACCCGGCTGACCAAAACGAAAGAGAATCCCGCTGGCAAGCCAGGCAGTGTGTACCTATCAGCAATTATACTGCATGATTTAATTTAAACACTGATGTGTAAATTCAACAGTTTACATTCCTAGATGAGGAAGTGCTAACACCTCTGGTGCAGAGGATCCCTAGCCAAGGCCCCACCTGTGGTGGACAGACGGGTTTCCTCACTGAATCCACAGCACTGCCCAGTGCTGCGAGATGGTTTTGCACAACAGAAAAGTCACATTTCTCTTGATTAATAAATACATAAAAATATAAGGCTCCAACATATAACGAGATATCTGAGGAGAACACCAGCTGCTTCTCTTCATCAGTCCAATAAATTCAGAGCTAAAAATATTGCCCTCTGTTCCCCCTCCCCCTAACAAAACTCCTCACGTTTCAACTGTTGCTGGGGTTTGTGGTGCTGAAAACTTAGCATCTCAAAGCGCTTCACAGAATCCACTGTAAACTGAATTGACTGTATATTTTGTGGGCGAAACACAGCAGTCAATTACACACATCAGTGACCCACAAACAGTCGTGGATTGAGTGAACACATTTTTTTCATGGGATTATTACCCCCGGAAATGTGATCCACCAATCAACTGACAATCAGGTTTCTACTTATTGCTCGGTGAACAAAGGTGTGTGGAGTAAGGAAATGTGCACAACGCTGCATCCTGCCCGGGAATCGAACCGAGGTCCTCTCACTTGAGAGGCGACTGCTCTAAACACTAAGCTACAGGACTCCACTTGTGGGACTTGTGAGAAGATGAAAGCAGCTCATCTCAACCCGATACCATTGACCGCGTGCAACCCCATCAGGGCTGTCGCCGAAAACAGGGCTCAGGCCTAAAATGCCTCAAAAGCTTAGTCATGACATATGGCAAGTCACAAATAGTGATACAATCCCGCAGAACAGTGACTCCTGAATTCCTTCAAATTGGTTATGGTTCAAGTGTGCACGGATAAATCTGTCTCAAGCGGGTGATTGAATTAAAATTAAAGCAAAATGCCTGTGCCAAGCACAGCTACATCATTCATTCAGATGAAAGAATGCGTCTCATTGTCTCAGAGCCTCACTTACCCTGAATTGAACCGAGACCCCTGAATCAGTTACTGACCGACTGAAAGACAATGTGCCCAGTGACTGAGCTGTTTAATCCCTTCCACCACAACCCACCCCTACCTTCAAGTCACTGACAGGCATTTCAAGCAATGAATGGAGAAAGTGAGCTGTATCCTTACTTTGAGGGGATCAGGCTGCAGCTGATTCTACCTCACGCCCACCGTTCTAATTCAGTAAAATACCCTCCCAAACTGTTAAAAAGTAAAATACAAACATTCAAAATAAGGTAATACACTATTAATGCTATTACAAACGAGGTCGCAGTTCATAAAGCAATAGTCATGTTCAAGGGATGAATAAGAAAATAAACCAGTGCAGAAAAATTCCACCTGGCTCCACATTTACTCCATTCATGTTAACATTACGGAGCGCCAGAAATTGACAAGTTCTTAAATACAATCTTAATTTTGAAGCCAGTTTTTAAGAGTTCCAGAAAAAAACAGCTTCAGAGTCAAAAACTGAATGCAATCGATTTGTCAAATTCTGGACGGTGATAAATGCTCGACAGATTGAGGAAACCCAGAGCCAGTGGCCTTTCACTGCAATATTTATACACCATTGTAATCAGAAGGTATTTATGATGTGCCAGAGTAAGCAACACCTTTGAACTTCAGGACTTGTACCTTATGTAAACGTATAACATTGAAGGCAAATTGCTAAAGAGGTCAACCCAGGCTGTCATTTGCAGAAGGAAGAGATGAGATCCGTCTCACAACCTGCAAACAAACAATGCTCCAAGCTGTGAACTTATACTGAGCCCCAGCATCTCAGTCATTGGGGTTCAATGCAAAGCCCCACAAATAACACATCAAGTAACACGTGTTCGAAACTTGTCACCAGAGCCCCCCCACCCCCAAAAAAAAAAACTTTTCATTAAAGTGTAAAGTCACGACTTGCTTTAATAAGGTTGGAAATCCTTACCCCAGACATGGTTGCCTTCTTGCAGGTTTCTGTGGAGCTTTTTTTGCTCCACACGTACCTTACAGTACTACACAATGGCGAGGGGAGGGGAGGGGAGGGGAGGCTGCCCCAGGAGCTGAGCTGTGGGTGGGGGCTACAGCAGAAGGAGCTCACTCTGAAAATGTCTGAGGGAATGATGTGAAGTCAGCTTCTCGGGTTACTGTGCTGTGGGAGCCCCGGCCAGTCCCGGGTAGTCTGCACACAGGCACTCCCTGGTGCACACACACACACACGGACCGCGTGTCTGGAACCCCACAGCACAGAAAGAAAGTCCTGATAATGCAGCATTACCTCTCACACACATCACAGAGCTGCTCTGCACTCACTCACTCACACACTCACACACACTCACACACACACACACACACACCACACACACTCACTCACTCACACACTCACACACACACTCACACACACACTCACACACACACACACACACACACTCACACACACTCTCACATACACACACACACTCACACACTCACTCACACACACCACACACCACACACACTCACACTCACACACACACTCACATACACACACACACTCACTCACACACACACTCACACACTCACAGACACACACTCACAGACACACACACACTCACAGACACACACTCACAGACACACACACACTCACTCACACACACACTCACACAAACACTCACTCACAGACACACACACACAGTCACACAGACCCCCACACACCCACACACAGACCCCCCACTCCCCCCCCCCCCGCCCAGTCGCTGGTGCCGCCCTGCGCTGCCCCTGTGGGGCTGTCACTGAGAGCCTGAGAGCTCCTTTCCGAATGCTCTTTGTGACAAAGGAGCGTCTCAGTGAGTGATGGGGACTTACCGCAAAAGTTCACAGCTGCTGCGGGAACGAACCCCTCCCACACGGGACTTACACGGTTTCGGGGCGGAAAGGCGGACAACTTGACCGGGAGTGCAAAAGCAGAGACCTGGCTTTAGCTTTCCTGGTGCGGTCCGGGTCGAGGCAGCGCTCTCATCCCCCGACAAACCGTGACCTGACGACTTGAGAAAGAAGTAGGGAGTGAGGGGGTGGAGCTCAGTGGCCAATGTGCACAGTCAAGTCTGAGTCAGCCCTCCAGCCCTGTGTGCATGCCTCAGCTCAGTCACTTTCTTATCTGCATACCTGCCTTGTTTGAGGTGTGAGAGTGTACTGTGCATTACAGCAATGCATTGCACAGCCTGACCCTGTTTTTTTTTTTTGCTGTTCACCCACTCGAAGACTTTGACCTGCGTTTTCAAAACGATTCCGATCACCCACAGATTTCCTTCGCCATCGAGTGCGCTTTGACTAAAACGCGCTGAATTAGCCGTGATAAAAACGACAAGGAAATGATGGCTTTCGGCGGGTATTTGTTGGGGTTTTTTTTTTTAATAAGCTCGGAAGAAATGATTTCGAAATGTCTCCGGTCGTGTATTTGACGCACTTTGGAACATCGCTCGGTTGGGCAGAGAAGGCAGATTGTGGCGATCACAACTTGAATTTATATAACGCCTTTCACACACGGTGAGGGTCGCGAGGTGCAGCGAGTTTCAGGATGTTAACCAAAGACACGGTCAAAGAGATAAGAAGTTTTTAGGAGGTTTTTGAAGGCAGAGAGAGAAGCTGCAGGGTAATTTGTCGTCAAATTCATGAGGGAATTACACAGTTCTTTGACCAAGATTGAGTACGAGTATGAGAGATAGAGGGCAGGATTATTTGTTTTCTTTTAGCACCCGCTGCAATGGTATTTTCTAGTCTTATATGTTTCTATGTCCCTATGAAATCTCAGTAATCTCTTACACATTGAAGCTGTCACTGAAATAAGTGAGTGCTGAGAGAGTGTGTTACATTTGTGGTCCAGGCTGAAACAAGTGCTTGTTTCCTCAGCAGAGTAAGTCAGCAATATGCAGAACTGCACTCTTCTCGGAACACCACCACATCCTCTTCATTAAACTTAAAAAAAGATCTGTACCATCTTTATTTAGATACATTTGCAGTGTCTCCTTCCTCTGAGCTACTAATCACGCACACACAGTCAAGGTACATTACAAATGAGCCCTCAAAATATATTTGGCCAATTGCCTCTCCTCTCAGCTCCTCTCTTTTCACTGTTTCCTTCTCTTCAACATCTGCAAGCATCCGCTAGCACGGGGTCAACTTCCACATGTATGTGAATGACACCCGAGTTTATCTCTCTGCCTCCACCCTCAACTCCAGGACTATTGTCCTGACAGAATGTCTGTCAGACAACAAGTCCTGGATGAGAGCTAACTTTCTTCAGTTGAACGTCAACAAGACCGAGGCTCTTGTGATTGGTTCTCGTCAGCACTTCCATACCTCAAGCGCTGACAGCATCACCATCCATGGATGCGCTCTCCACCTCACTGAGCCAGTCTGGAACCTTGGCATCTTGTTCGACTATCAACTGTGCTTTCTACCCCACATCCATACCATGACCCACTCTGCCTTTCCCCACCTCTGCAACATTGCCCGGCTCCGCCACTGCCTCTCCCCTCCGGCTGCTGAGATCCTCATTCAAGCTTTCATCCCATCCAGGCTTAACTATCCGAACTCCCTGCTTTTTGGCCTTCCCGATTCTTCCCTCCACAAGATACACAGATCATTCAGAACTCTGCAGCTCGTGTTCTTTCCTACACCAGGCTCCATGACCCTATTACCCCCACCATCCCCCAGGGGATAGAGTTCAACATCCTCATCCTCATCGTTAAAACTCTCCACAGTCTTGTGCAACCATACCCCACCACACCATCGGAGGTCAGGCCTTCTGCCTCTCTACCCCCATCTTCTGGAGCTCCATCCCAGAATTTCTTCACCTCTCCCCCTCCCTTGCTTCCTTCAATGCCCATCTCAAGACCTTCCCCTTTAACCATGCCTTCCAAGCCCCATCTCCCTTGCTTCCCACTTCTGTCAATCTAGCTCAAGTGCTAACCCTCAACTGTCAAGCACCTTGGGACTCCTCCTAATGTGAAAGGCACTATATAAATATAATTTGTTGTTGTTAAAACAATAGGCTAAATGATGTGACCTCCCAATGTATGAATTAACACCTACATTTTAATCAGCACACCAACTAATCAAAGTTAGTTTCTTCTAAATTTGTTCTGCTTCAATAAAGGTAGATTAGGGGGAGCTGCATAGGTCAAGTTTCAAAATGATAACCTGGAATATAAACTAAAAGGATAACAGGGATAAAAACTCTGTCCTTCAGATTTTATCAAGGAAATTGTTTGCCAGGACACCAGTAGAAACTCCCTCTTTTCAATAGAGCCGTGGGATTTGTAGAGACAGGTGGGACTTTGGCTTAACGCCTCATTTGGAGTACAGCACCTCCAGCATTGCAGTGCTCCCTCAGCACTGTTCTGGAGTGTCAGCCTCGACTATGAGCTCAAATTCCCCCACACTGGTTTTGAACCTATAACCTTTGACTCAGAGATGAGAGTGCTACCACCTGAGCTCGTCTGACACACAATACAATGCAGAATGTTGTTATGAAGGTAAATACAGCAATTAATCTGTCCTGATAACATCCCACAAACAAGGAGTGAAACTAACATTAAGGCAGAAGAAAACAAAAGGAAGAAAAGAAAAAGAAAAAATGAGGAAAAGTAAAATGGAAGACAGAGAAGTGATGCGCTCACGTCTGAGACAGAAGGCAATGTGTGCACACGGAAAGGATTAGAGGCCTAGATCAGGCACAAACCTCAAAATACAAATACAAAATACAAATAGCAGAAGTCTTGTTTGAACACATGTATAACAAAGGATCTTTGACACTGAATTGTGATACAGATTCCACATCACTCTCCTCCAGAGCTGTGCCTTTTCTTTATACTCTCACTCCTGAGGGAATAACTGATCCCACTTTGGGTTGGGACAAGCAAGATTCGGACAATTTGGGAAAATTTTCCTTTGCTCATCACACTAGCCTCTGACTTCAGAGACAAACTGGCAATATAAATCTGCATTTTATCATCTGCATTGCATCATGAGTTCACTCTTTAATATGCAAAACTCTCTTAGGGAGTCTGTTGCTCAGCTTGTAACACACAGCACGTGCACTGTAGTTGTAACGAAGCTCTGCTGTGCTCTTTCTGGAGTGCATTTCTGGACCGTTCATCTTTTACTGAAATTCTTTTCTCAAAGCTTTGATCACAATCCATTACTTGTCTACAGTCACAGGAAATTGTGCCACATGAGCAGATTGGATTCTTACAGCACTTATTGATGTGTTCTCACTTTGCTTTTAAAGAATGTGCCACATGAGCCATTTAGGGACACCAGAAACTGGGCAGCAAAATTGTTCACAACAATGTGACACTGAGCCTCTCTCCCTGGGCTCTGTAACCCTGTGACACTCAGCCTCTGCTCTACACTGAGCTGAGCTCAGGGTACAGACTGAGTGTCACAGGGTGACAGAGCTCAGGGAGAGAGGCTGAGTGTTATTGAGGTGATGTGCTCATGAGTGTGCTCTATCGCCAGAGGTACATTGTTAGGCCACAATGCATGAGCCTCTCGTGAAATTAGCACAAAACCACCAGTGCAGCCTTCCTTCAACAGATGAAATCTTATCGTGTGAGGAGGAAGTGGCCCCTCATAGTAAAAATAAGGCCATTTCCTCTGGAGGTTAAAAACCTTGCATAAAAAACAGTAAATAAAAGGACTTTGCACACAATGTCACAGGAAACACCCACATTCAGTTATTAGTGTGTTAATACTAATTAATTAAGATATTATATTGTGTTACCACTTAAAGGGCAGCCAG